ATTATCCGATTGGGAGAGTAACCATTTTTTTAGCAATTAAAAAAAAAAAAAAAAACACGATGTTATTGGATAAAATCAGAAGAAAGATAAGATAACAATGGGACCATTTATTATGTACGAATCTGGGATAACATTATCTTTTTCGTTACGCACGCACTGTACGTATATGTTTAATCTAATCTTATTTGACTAATATAGAAGGTGGCTCAAGATTTTACCTAACAGGTGTATAGTCATTTACAGTCACTATCTGTGCACTTTTTTTTTTACAATATTAAAATCTAGAATTATAAAATAACAATTGTGGCTTTGCTCAGATGACCCTGGGCGAAATTTATTATTTTTGAATCAAGATTGTAAGTCATCTATCTATTGATGACATTTAGTAAACAAAAGAAATTTGTAAAAAGTATGAAATCTAATATTATTGATATTAAAATAAGTAAAAAATATATACTTTTGTCAATATTCGTAAATATATGAACAAAGAAAAAAAATGTTTGATTTATACAGAACGAGATGATGAATTGTAAAAAATAAAGCAAATATCATTTAATATGGAAGGAAAAGAAAAATACAAATGTCCACAACTAAATCCATAACTAATCAAAATGTTTAATGTCCCTAATGCTGTACTACAATGATATCAGAAATTTTTGTAATCGAAAGCTCTTAACGCGTGAATGCGCAAATATTCTGTTGACTATTAATAACTTCCAATAAAATCTTCTCGATTATTTTCAAAAAATTCTCTTAGGCTCTTTCCCCTACCACCCGTAATGATTTCTAGATCTCGTGTTACTTGAACTCTTCGAGATGCTCCAACATAACCTTGCAACCCCCATAATTCTAAAAGATAAGCTGCCATTTCTCTATCAGATGTTATATCTAACAACATTCGTTGTAATTGTCTGATCGGCATTAATTCAACTTTGATTTCACGCCCTAGACCTAGTGATGCCTTAACCGCAATTTCGTGAGTTGTTAACAAGTTTGGTCCCGTTATCTTATATTCTTTGCCACCATGTCGTTGGACAGGACAATAAAGAACATAACAAATCGCGCGAACAATGTCGCTAATGTCACAACATTCAAAGATCATGTTTGGATTATCAATCATTGGTATCTGCGATTTCTCACATATATATCGCGAGAAACGTAACAAGTGCTGACTTATCACGCTGGGATATCTAATAATGGTTATTTGAGATGAATCAAACGAATTTCTTAATGTTGATTCAATTATTTCAAATTGATCACGGTATGATCTAATGGGAATTGCATAATCTTCTGATGTTTCGATTGGAGACAAAGGTGGAGAGTATGGTGCATCAATCTTTGCAAATGGTGTAGGAAAAATTATATGCTCAACATTAGCTTCCTTAGCCGCGTTTATGTATCTAAAATATATAATTATAAAGACTAAGAATTTGCTTATAAT